GCGGTAGCAGAAAGTGGATATATTCATTCCGCTACTGGTCCTAAAGTATTTCATTTATTGCAAGGCCGCTCTGTCTGATGCAGAGAGCTTAGAAGAATGATGTCCTAACATTTCCATTGAAAGCACTAGTCATCAACCCCCGCAGCGTTTGATTGGGCGGAAACGCTTTTCGGACATCCCCTAGTTATCAAATCAGCTGTACTTGCCACCAACAAAACTTGATTTGTGGCATAGTACATACATGTACGAAAGCAGTTTTTGGTGATAAATAGCAGAGGGGAGTTGCAGGGATTATAAAGTTTTATTTTGCTAAAGTCAACACTCTCAGCAGAAGTGCCAATGAAAAAAACCAAAACTGTTTTCTAATGGCCATCTGTCAAATTTCCAGTTCCTTGGGCTTCTCGCAAGTTCACGTAGGGGATGGGAAGGGGAGGGAGGCTCAGCAATCAACACTGACTTCCCCTTTCACTTCAACCTGAAGCGAAAAAAGGGGTGACAATGGAAATTCTCAAGGAGCAGCTGTAAAGAACATCTCCTGGACATATGTCTTACACATGGCTCTGCATTTAATGGTAGTAAGGGGGCTGTCAAACCTAATAACATAGTATACTTCTTGAGGAACTACCCGTAATATCGACGTTCGCGAAAGTGGACAAGTAGTGCACCTTGGTAATAAAAGCTCTTTATGTGGCAGGTGAGGGAACTTCTCCCCGAATTCCCGCGGCCGTCGGCAGTGGTTCCGCGGTGGCTGCCGCAGCCTTCCATTGCTAATTCAAATCTTTCCCTTCATAGCGTGCGATCGAGTGCGGCGAGGCCGACACGCCGTTCGGGGATAGTGTACCAGACCCTACTGTCCTTCTTCCGACTTTGTCAAGAGGATTAACAGCGTCTTTGTTTCTAAATATTATTGAATCATTTATTCAAGATCAATCAAGTTCAGTTCAATAAGTCAGAGCAAACGTTAAAGTGGCATGTGCAGAAATCTTATATTTCTTAACAAACTCCACAAAAGTTTTTCATAGTGCCATACTTTCATGAATGACTTCTGGAATGTTCAGAATTACCTACATAAAGGAAATTGCTGAGATCTCCATGCACATCTCATATTCCTTTTCCCGCTGTGTTCAGGCCCAGCATAAGCACATTATGAATGCACGTTAATCGAGTTATGCAGTTCGATTACTTCAGCTAACTTCAACTTGAATAATTCAGTTTTAAATGTCATCCGCTCTGTCTGAGTTCGCTACAGTATGCCTCAAATGAGCCTTTTCCATGGATATCTACCTGCTTATATGCATGAAAGCATATGGGATTACTCATAGCACAAGATTAGTCTGTTTAATTGAGGAAACACCGACTTAGTAACCTCAGTCGATCCAGCAGGTAGAGGGAGCAAGAGTTTGTGCGATTGTTCTATAGTGTTTTATACTGGGAGAGTGGTTCAGATTCAGGTTCAAAGTCCGGGCGCGAAGGAAACCTTAAAGAAACGTGTTATTTTAAAATTTATCGTGAAGTACAACATTTTCAGGTAGGAACCCACAAATTAACGTTGATTTGTGGGATGACTGGACGAATCGGAGCTACATGTACACTTCTTTTCAGATTGCTAATCATAGGTGTGATTGAATGCGTTGCGAAATGAGATTGATCAGCGTGCGCCTGGTCTGTTCCTCATTAAGATTAGGAAATGAGTTTCAAGGGAAGAAGCGTTCATCATTACTTCTCTACTCGAGTCCTGTTGAAAGTCATAGAAAAGAAACTCATTGCTAAATGAGGTTGTCAGCGTTTTTATCCTCCCATAGGAGTTTGCAACAGTTAACCTACTGGGGCTAAAGGGTTCTGTTGTACTATACAAGGCGAGTACTTATACGGCTCGTCTTCACTCATGTGCGAGCACCAGCAACCAGCCATTCGCTTCTGTCTTTCGCGATCGCCATCCACGGTAGACCCAAGAATTCGACGGATATGGCAATATGGCTGCTTTCATAAGCCACGATTAGGCGAGTATCGATTGGCCATTCGATCGATAGGCCGTGCATGCATGATAGTGCATCATTTGCCATGTCCACCTCCACCTGATTTGCTAAATAGCGTATGATTAGTTACTTATTTGTTCATTGCGGACATGAAAAGGAAGTCCACACGAGTAATTTGGACAAACAAGACACAAAGAAGAATCGAAACACAGAAGTACGGGCATATAAAACTCGTGGTAAAAGAAAATTGTTCAAAAATCAAAGTTGGGCATCACGGAGCTTGCGTACGTTCTCCCAAACTTCTCGCCTTCTTGTGATCTTGTGCCACGCAGAAAATCTCGTGTATGGAAGCAACACGGCTTAACATAGGGTTTGCCTCAAACCTGCGTAATCAAACTACAAGCATAACTTGGACACTAACTTGATCAGAGATGACAAANAAAGGTAGCGAAAATACGATCTTCACAGTGCCGAAAGTGACCGATTGATTGAAGACCGTCGATTGGCGGGCTTATATAGATCGAGCCCAAAATTCACGATCGATTCGTAGATCTCAGGACACTTGAACTTGCTTCAGGAAGATTTCGTCGTCACTTGATATCTCCAAACTAACAATAAAATCGTAACAGAAATCCAGTGGAATGATAAAGTCGTTCAAACCTGGCTATAGTCGGCTATGGTGCCTGGTCGCGTTCGCGACAGGCATCAGCAATCACTGCCAGCCACTCGACCTTGTTTCCCAAACTACCGTCGAACTTTTTCCTTTTGATAGTGTCAGTATTGAATTATCTTTTTATCAACACTTGAGTCAAAGCTGCTGTTTAGTTTTGGCATGGGCCTACGTATTTGGTGCTCCGGTTGTGTTTCCAGTAGCTGCAGTTTTCCAGACATCATCCGTTTATTTCTGCGTAGCAGCAGCGGTTGACTGCTTTATAGCAGTTGTACTGCCGGATTCGGTTCGACAGCTGTACTCCACGCCAAAGTGAGAATCTTTTATACTTTCGAGCGATATTATTACAGGACTGAAGGCCCGCTAGGCAACCATCGTTTATTATCAGAAATTTTTTTCCAGTAATGAGGTTTCAAGTTTAAAGTTTTTTGCGTTAATCAATCCCGTGTGAGAGATGCGCCCCGCACTCGACTTCCATTCAGAATCGTAGTGGCGTAATGAGTGCGTATGTGGCCTATACAATGACTTGCGGTGCTACCCGATGTACAATTCAGTGCTTTTATCCTCCCAGACAAGTCTGATACCAGTTAACCGACCACGAAGGGATGGAAGGCTTGGTTGGCCTGGGCGTATCGATCCGGGATTCGAACCCCTGACCCTTGTGATATAGTGCGCCGCTTGCCACTACACCTCCTCCACTATTTATTGCTATTTACGGCTAACCTTTTTGCTAATTAAACAGTCTGGTACGACCAGGTGGGTAGCCCAGCATCGAATTTCTAAGGGTGTCCAGCACACTTACCCTCCTACGCAAGGTTTTCACTAGTCTGTTTTTGACATTGAAGACGTTTCTTAGTGTTATCATTTGATCCAAACAGATGAACAGGAACCCGCAAGAAGAACTTCTCGTTGTGTTTATGAGATTGAATAGGGATCCTGTTCAGTAATCGCGTCATTCCGCTGGGATATCTCAACAAGGTTATCAATTCGTAATAGAATATTGAACGAATGACTAGTTTTTTTTTGATGTTTCCTTCATTGATTGCTGGAAATTATCCATTAATATTAATGTAATGTTTTTAATATTGAGCTGGAAGTGCGCCTACAGCAAAAAGCGGTTAAAAAACCCCTCATTAGAATATCTACGTACCAAGAACCAGTACTCAGTACTATATCATTTACTGGGAAACTTGAAGAAAACTTACATCTATAATTACCTCGGGTGCGGATTTTCTTAGACAGTTGCCAAGCTCGGATTGGGGATTCTTCTTATTAGTTATTCACATTGGCACCACGAATGTCTTCAAATGCTGATGACTTTTTTCAGAAGAGCAAAGGTCACATGTACGTGTATTATGGTCATTTGTATTCTCTATAACATTCCTCACTTCTTCGAATTGGAGAAGGTACGTCTTTTCATCTCATAGAAGCTGGGATTTACTCACAAAGGATTGTAAGTAGCTGTGACAGGAAAAAGATTGGCAATAAGGATATTCTCGAGTGATGAGAAGCGAGCGCTAGCGTAAATTCATTTATTGCCTGCATCTCATGAGAGACTTCTCGGCTTTTATGCCCAAGTGTAGGAGAAACACGAAGTTATTCATCTGCGCAGTAGGGCAAAGTATCATAGCAGGCTCATAGCTGGCTAAAAGGCTTCACTAATGAATATGTGGAAAAACGAGTGGCATACACGGTAAGAAAACAGTGGCAACCTTAAGCGAACTTTGTAGGGCATCCCTAAAATACAGTGCTGAGTGAAAAGTGTGGTGAAAGGCACAAAACAACAAAATAAGCCAAAGAAGTGGTCGAAAACTTCAAAACAAGGCCCATCGTCCTTTTGCTGTTCCGAAAAAAATGAAGGAGGGAGTCTGGCGTCAATCATTGCCGCATTTGGGATGCGTCCTCGCACTCGACTCCCATCCAGAATCGCAGTGGCATTTTGATGATTTGCAGTGGCCAGCTGACGTACCATTCAGTGCTTTCATCCTTCCAGAAGATTCTGGTACAAATGGACCGACCTCAGAGAGATGACAGGTTTGGTCAGCTTAGTCGAATATCGATTTGAGATTTGAACCCTGGACATGCCGCCACTACGCCATTACCCTTTAGAGGAAAATGCGTGATAAATTTTGAAAATCTATGAAAGAGAGTTTCGACGATAATGCAGGGGTTCTAGCTCTCCATTCGGCTTGGGTTCTTAGTTACAAGTTGGGCTATACACGCTAACGCGCGCATCACATTATTCAATCAATTAATTGATCTGGATACACAGTGCTGCGGTTATGGAGTCAAAAGCAATGCTCGACATAAAAGTTACTATAGTGATTGGTTCAAGGAACTTTACTCCGTGAGAAAGTAAAAAGAGCTCATTCTATGGCTGTTAACAAGTGCATGTGCTTACCATTTCTAGGGCCCGGTATCTCCTCCCCGAAAACGACGTCGCATTCGCCGCACCCGATCGCGCGCAGTCGCGCGCCTTGAAGGGGAAGATTTAAATTCCCAGCGGAAGGGTAGGGTCGCCGCCCCGTGACCTTTGCCGCTCGCCGTGAAAATTCGGGAAGAACTCCCATCTTTATGAGCAAAGACGATCAAAAAAAAAGGCCTAGTGACTCTATTTATCTCAAGGAGAAGCAGACACAGGACAGGTGGATATTATCAGTGGAAGTTTTTCTCTAAGGATATATCATTAGTAGAGGCTTCTACATTATTAGCGGTTGGATAAGTTTTCTAGCGAATGACATAAAAGCAAAGAGTAACCGTGACCCCTCATTGAGTCACAAGCCTTGCTGGGCAGCGCTCACAATATGACCGCACTAAATGATCTAACCTTTCATAGCTTCACAACAACGAAGCTTTAATCGGTCCCTATCACTGCACTTACCACTAACTTTTTTGTCTCCCTACCTTACCATATCGTCTTATCGAATCGTACTAAAGAACCAAAACCACATACCATACCCTGCCCCGGGTCCGTCTACGGCGGGCACTGCCGCCCCGGTGCCGTTCACGGCGCGTACCACCGCCCCGGGTCCGCCCACGGCGGGCACCACCTCTCCGGTGCCTTCACGGCGGGCACCACCTCTCCGGTGCCGTTCACGGCGGGCACCACCGCCCTGGTGCCGTTCACGGCAGGTATCACCTCTCCGTTGCCGTTCACGGCACGCACCATCGCCCCGTGTCCGTCCAGGGCGCATGAATGATATCATACCAATGAAAAACCGTGATCCTTCATTGAATCGCAAACTTTGCTGGGTAGCGGTCGTAAGTAAAAAGTGAACCAAATTTCATAATCGGTCCCCATCTGTGCACTTACCCATCTTGTCGAATGAAACATATCAAAGAATCAAAGCTAGATCGGGCATAACAAAGGCGGGGTATTACTGTTTATATCGATCCCACAACAAACAGCGGACCATTACAACGCCATTCACTCAATCAGCTTGCATCTTCTTGGTTGCAGGATAAAGCTAGTTCGATTCTTTTCAATCGTGGGGCAGTCAAACTCCCAGGGAAACAGACGAGGTAGTGTGAGAAAGTTTCCTCATCGTTACCGGTTGGTTTCGATAAGTGAATATCGAACAATACTGGTCTGTATTGCCAGCAATAGAACAGCATGCCTGTCTTCGGAAGTCACAATAAAGTCAAACCTCCAAGAGGAGCGTTAGAGGGATGATTTGTATTTTCAGTGGAGAGTTGCCTTGCCTGCAAGGTGCCTTGGGGGCCTTAAGAACCGGGAATTCATCAAGAAAATCGCCCAACCTCCACAACCATTNAATTAAGTTGTAAAGGGTAAGACAGGATGAAGGCTTCTCATTTCTTTCAATCAACTTTACTTTCCCAGTTGAATAACAACTCTGCCTCGACTTTCCAAAATTGCCTATTTAATAAAAATGGAATTCCACTGTCAAGCAAGCACATTATGGTCACTACTGTTAGTTACGCTACTGGGTGAATATCGGCTCAAACTCTCACCTTTGAACACGATTTTCTCAATCATTGTTGTTTCAGAGCCTGTCAGGATATGCTAAAACTTTTCAGCCTTTATACTACCCACTGATGGACATAAGTTCCGGAATGATGAGGTTCTTACTGTTCTTCAGGTGGACTGTGTAGCGAATGACGGCAGCCTTGGTACGCAAATTTGTCCCACCGATATTCGACTGGACCCAGCTTACTATGCTATCTATTATACCTACATGTACACCACTTTTCTTGCCATTGGTCCCCTCACATTGTTGATTCTTCTCAACATCTGCGTAGTGTTCACGGTTCTCACAAAGCGAACCGCAGAAAGTGGTAAGATCATCCTTCAAAGTTCGTTGCTCCAATAATTTTCTATTAATGAGTTTCAGATGATTCCGATACAATAAGCTTAATTTTGGTAGTGTTTTTCTTCATATTTTGTAACTTCACCGCTCTACTCGTCAATTTCATGGAAATAATTCTTAATAATCCCGTGAGTTCCATGGCATGGTTGACTATAGATGTGGCTATGGTTTCTAAAAATAATCTTTCAGAACATTCTTGTTTATTTCGTGGATTTGTCTAATCTATTGGTTGTAATTAACGGGACAGCAAATTTCTTCTGTTACTTGATATTTGGCGCTGGTTTTCGACTAACTCTCAAGAAGGTTTGAAGACCTCTGAGCCTTTTTCCTGATTGCTTTGCTATCAGACAATTTCAGATTTTATGCAATTTCCGTAAAGAAAAGCCGAAATTAATCTGGACGATAAATGGAGACGAGAAGATTGCCAACGCTCATCACAGTCTTCTTTGAAGTGGGTCCTTTGTTGCCTACCCATCTGACCGCTGAAAACTTTTCAAGTACAGTATGAAGCAATTGCTATTAGCTGGCCACAGTAAGCTGCCTTCGTACAGTTTCCGTTGGGAACGGTGCAACCTTCACAGCTCTACTACAACGCAGTGTCACCGTGTACGACTGGGTGTGTACGTCGTTTAAGCTGGTTTCGTGACCCTTAATATGCCCTATTCAGGCCGTGTTTTGCGTTACCAGTACACACTCTTATTTTGCTCTACCGGGTCTCCTGTACAAACACCTATGTACCTTCGAAATTGTGCAACCGGGTAGGGGTACATTCAACCAGAACTGGATGGACGCGGCAAACCTCGCGGCGAAATTCGTTTTGATTAAAACCTCTGGCCCCTATCATTGGGGCACAAATTTGAAGCGGGGTAGAGAATTGGCATCAGCTGGCCCTACTTATCCAATCTACTTGAAACCCGTGACCCAATGATAGGCACCGAAGTCGTTTTAATCACTACGAACTTCGCCGCGCTGTTTGCCGCGTCCATACAGTTCTGGGTGAATGTTCCGTCCCCCGTGCAACCTTTCAAGAAATTGCAGAAGTTTAGGATTCTGACTGATCCAACACCCAGTTAAGGTCTCAAGACATCGTTTGCATGTAGGAGGCAATCTGTCACAGCTGATAGACTTCAGGTTGTGATGGACTTTGATATGAAGTTAAAGCTGCGGTATGATTCAGAAGTAAAATGCATGACCTACGACCTGACTTTTGAAGGCTGTTGTCTCTACCACTGTGACATTAGATCCCTCAATCAGATTAAACTGTACTCAAAAGACCTCTCCAACGTATTCCCTTCTTACTCCTCACCTGACATTGAAGATATTTATCAGGCCCAAAAGAGAGAAATTGTAAAATATCTACTAATGCTTCGGTTTTCAGGCACAAAGTTGAAAGACTTCGATTACCTGATCGGTGAGACGTTGGTTCGAGTAAAACGGAGCATCAGACATATCATTGGAAAACATTTCTCTGAAGTTATACGTCGATGCTTCGCGGCACTATGATAATCGTAGAGAGGCAGAGCGAAATGGTTCCATTTGCAGCTGTCGGGTCGATTTTCGCGAATCCTTATTCCTAGAAATAACGTTGTGTTTAACGTTTCATATGTATTGGCACAATTTCAGGCTTACTATCTCATGCCTTCCAGTAACATAACTGAACCTTCAGAGGTCTCTTAGTGGATAAGACATGTAATAAAATTAATAAGTATAGTTCAAAAGGTTCAAATGTGCCATGTAAACAACAGAAGGCATTCTAATGACTACAGCCCTACCAATTTGATTTTAAATACTCCGTTCACTGAGAAAAAGTCTGACTTTCACAACAGAGTACACACTGCATCCAGCATGGTCTGTAGTAACATGGCTCATCACACGACTTCAACCCTCGCTCCCNCTCTCCTGGGCTTCCCCGTGAAGTAGCGAAACAACCTGAAGATTAGAGGCATGCACCATCACCATCCACCACTCGACGCCAACGCTCAGGCAGCTTGTCGATTAATTCCTCCCAAAACGGCGGGGGTGAGACTTGAAGAAGTCGTCGTGGGTCTTTCTACCTCGTCCTCTGTTTCAAACTTTTTTTCGTCCAGAGCGCTGCAGGTGGCCGAACAGTCAGTAGACGGAAGGGGCGAGATCAGGGCTGTAAAGGGGCTTGGCGACGGACAATCAACCATCCGTACTTCTCCGGCTCGGCTTGGACGCCTTTGCGGTGAGAGGTCAGGCCTCGTCACCGTTGAAAGAGACACACATAAACGCATACATACACACAACACACACAGCACACATGTACAACACACATACATGCATACGTACACACATACATATGTGCATACACACGCAACAACACACATACGCACATGCATACTGTACATACATACATCAGAAGCACCGATTAACCAATAAACACACCCGGCGAAATATTTAAACTAGGATATCCAGCGACTGCTTTCATAGTCCGCGATTTTGCGAGCGACTGATCGCGCGACCACTCGCGACCTATCGAGCGAACGACCGAGCGACTAGTCGCGCGATCGGTCGAGGAGACGGCGCTAGCCATGGGCGCCGCCGAGCGATCAGTCGCGCAACCTGTCGCTTGCCAAATCGTGGACTATGAAAGCAGCCAGACGTAGTTGGCGCGACGATATTGGATGGCTTTTCCTTTCGAGCGGCTCTCCAGGATAGAGAACCGTCTTTCTCGGTGTGAGTTCCAAACGAATGCATTTGCCGTACATGACTGCTTCTCATCACCTCCTTGTTTTATCATTTTCCCTTTGTTATAAACATTACCGTGACTGGAAATAATTTATTGGCGCCATCACAAACAACATACAAGTATACACAAACAACCCTATAGAGAGAAAGGCATTACAAACGGTGCTTTACAACATAATTTTACAGATGACGTAATTCTAAACAGTTTGTATTTGAAGATTAGTAGGATGGTCTGTGATGTCGATGTGACGGCTTCAGCATGAAGTGGACCTTGTGGGCTGGCCAGAGTTAGATACTGAAAAAGGCAACGGAAACCTTTTCAAAATGGCGAAGAGAACAAATACTTCAAATCAGTGCCTTCCCGTGCAAAGCCCGTGCTCAATAAGCATGGAAGTTTTATGAGCACATGAAAGCCATCGCTTCTGTACAGAACATTATTCAGAGTCAAGAATTAAGAAAAGAATAATCTGGTTTCGCTAGTATCTCCGGTCAAGAAGATTCTCTAGAATCCTATATTCCAACATGACCGCAGGCTTCGGAGAAAAAATGACTTGGGCAAAATTTGGGCAGGGCAGTGATCGACCATGTAAGGCATATGTATAAAATGAAATATGACGGCAAAATTAAAAAATTGAGCCTACTCATTAGTGCTTCTAGAGTCTTGAATCTCTCCGTGAGGAGTTTTTTAGACGGCGAACGTGAAAACGATCGCCTTATTCTGAAATTATTCATTACAATCAGAGAAAGCAAGCTGCAAGAGTAGGGGTGTGGTGCAGTAGGAACGAAATCGTCGCGTCGCGGCGAGAGAGACGTCGCGCGTGAAGAAATGCAGCAGAATACAGCCGCACGTAGGAAATTCAGG